ATTACATCTGGTCTATTTAGTGAAACGATTGTTCCACTTGTTCATGAATTACCACAAGTATTGTTCTTTTATATTTTTTGTGAAATAGAGAAAAATATGAAGAGTGGAGTAGAAATTATATTAAAATCCATGGTATATTCATTGATAAAGAAGCACTTTATATATGTCTGACAAATGACGTACTATCCTATTCCAAACAAAGGTCGAGTCTAATATCAATTTTTAATAATAAAAAATCTATGCATGATTTAAATGGTACATTTTTTGGTTTCAGTTGTTAACTAGAACATTACTGAATATGTCTCAAACAGGCAATGCAAAACAAGATGTAATCAACATAGGTAGATTGAACTACGCTGATAATGATTGTTGTTGGAATTGTTGAAAATAGATGATTTCGATAAGAACTATGATTCGAAAGAAGCCATTCTCTGGTATACACGTGATTCATTTCTATGTAAATTATTAAATAAAGCATTCAGAACAGAAAATATTGATATTATATTTAAATTTCGTTTTTTTATTATTGATCTTCATTATCAATTAAGTCGTTTACACGCCGAATTTGTTGAGCTATTACAAGAGAATTTTGATTATTTTACTGTTTTTCGTGCACAACAAGTCCCATTGGACGAATTATAAAAATTAAAGGATAATATTGGTGGACTGATTTCAATGAATACATTTTTATCAACTACAATTAATCGCGAAGTTGCACTCATGTATGCTGGTAATTGTACTCAATATCCACAATTAGCTTCTGTTTTATTCGAAATGACAATTGATCTAAATACAGTAATAATAGGACAACAGCCATTTGCCCATATAAAACAATACAGTTTCTTCAAGGAGGAAGATGAAATTTTATTTTCAATGGCTACAGTTTTCCACATCGAATCAATCGAAATACAGAACGATACAGCTAATATTTGGTATGCTAAGTTAACATTAACCAATGAAAAAAACGTCCGTATGGAAGAACTAGACGAAGATTTTTGTACAAGAACAGGAAAAGCTGCAGAAGCTGACTTAGGTAAGCTTTTATTACAAATGGAAGATAACGACAGAGCAATCGATTATTGTAAAATCTTGCTAACTGAAAGTCCATCGTTTGATATTCAATTATCCGTTCGACGTTATAATATTATTGGTGAATGTTACAAAAACAAAGCGTGTTATGAATTAGCATTACAAATACTATGAGATAGCACTTGAAACTCAGCTGCAACACGATCCATCATGTTTTATTTCACTGTCCATTATCTATAATATTCTTGGTTTAATTAATCGATATATGAATTCAAACCGTTCTTTAACTGTTCACTATTACGAAAAAGCACTGGAATTACAAATGCAATTACCTGAACCAGATCATTGTTATCAGATTATTGCAACAATATTAAATAATATTGCTCCATATCAGAATACTATCGTTCATATCTCCAGTGTAACAGAGCTAGGAATGGTCTTTGTAGTGGACATGTCACTCTATCACGCATCACCTTTATCTCAAAATTAAAGCTTTTTCCCAAAATGAGCAGGATGTCAAGTTTTACGTCTTGAAGTGTGCAATTCTTTCATATGTATTAATTATGGGCTAGTTCAAAGTCACATGAATGAAGTAGAAAATCGATATGATGATAGCATTTTCCGCAACAAAAACTAAAAAAATTTCAGAATAAAAGTGGCTTTAAATGATAAAGTTAAAGTTTTAATGAGATACCTAACAAAAAACAACGACTTAACTTGTAATTTACAATTTCAGTATGACAATACGAATCAATCTAAAAATGAACATAAGTTGACCAGCGTGTTATTCTATTTCCGATTCATCTGGATATATGTAATTAGGCAAAATGACGGCGTATGAGACGATATATCAGCTCTGCTACTTCGATGAATGGAATAACACTAACAGCAATCCACCTAAAATATTAAAATTCGTAATATTACATTCTGTAGTTTGTTATTACTTCCTGTTACTTACAATCCTACATATTCGCCAATGGTACTAACCAATTGGGACCATGATATTGTTGGTTTTTCTGTATATGTTTCAACACGATAAGATCCATGAATAACTTGAACATTAACGTAATTTTTATCAATATAATTAGTCCAGTTTGTACTCCAATCATCAGGTAAAGCTATTGGTCTGTTGTTAAATGAACTATTACTCATTTGTTCCACAGCTTGCTTAATTGAATGTTTTTTCCAAGTTGTTACTGCTTTGAAAGCGGATACTTGGATATCAAATGAAGTAATTTCACATTCGGAATTGGAACACAATGGACAAGATATGTCCTGAAGTGTGACATTATTAAGAAATATTGTTCTTTGTGTACTATAACATGTGTCAGTTGCATAGCTTACCAACAACTAAACTATGATTTTTGTTGTCAAAATAAGTGCGTGCGTTCCAGTCAGATGGATCACCACATCCACACTGAGCAAACATATACGATTGCTGACATATTATCCAGCAAAGAAGATTTGAATATTCATGGTGAGAATGCCATATCGTTCAAAGTAAGCTTTCATGTCTTCTGGAACGTATGTTGTACAGCTTGTGTAAGGTGAACCGAGATATGTATTCAGTTTTTTTGGTATACCGACATTTGGGCACACAATGCATTACACGACGTTTGGACGCAACGACATTTGGGCGCAACGTTAGTTGAAGCTCAAAGACGCCGGTGTCAGCATAAAAAGTTTGTTTAAAGAGAATTTTATCGTTTTGCAGCATATTTTAACAAATGCTACTTCTGTTTGCTTTTGTCGTAGATGCGCCCAATGTGGTTGCGCCTAAATGTAGCTGCGCCCAAATGTCGTGTGCCCAAATGTCGGCGCCCAAGTGTCGCGCGCCTAAATGTCTGATAATCCGTTATGCTGCAGTCCCCTATTCAGAATATGTCGGTGCAAATAAAATAAGGGTTTAGCATATGTTAGAATGTTGTAATGTGCTAGTTCGCAAAGAAATATACGTATCAGTA